GCGTATGTACTGTCGGGTAATTCGTTATCGTTTGGAAGCTTCTTCTTCAATATTTTCAGTAGCTTCTCAAATCCTTTGTCAGCCACAGCATTCTCTGCCTTCCACTGCAGCAAATCCAGTACGGTACCGAGCTTTGTGTTGCCATCTCCGCAATTGGGGTATAACCCTTTTTTGTGATCCTCTAACATGCGATCGAACTTCAGCTTCTCCTTTTGATTAATGCATTGCGTCCTTGCATCGACAATGACCCGGCAGAGATCATCATCATCGGGCACATCGTCTGGTTCCTCTTGATCTTCAGCAGCTTCACCCGTGGCAGCATCATTGGGCACATCGTCTGGTTCCTCGTGATCTTCACCAGCTCCCCCCGTTGCAGCATCACCGTATTCAGGGGGCACATAGTTGTCATCGTACTCTTCTTCTTCGCCGTCTTCCATCATAACCCCTATTTCTCCGTGCCTCGTCCAAACATTATAGTGTGGCATGAAACCCTTGTAAAGCAGGTGGGAGTGAAGGATTTTCCGGTTAGAGTAAGACCTCGTATTCCCACATTCAGTGCATGGACAACACATAAAACCATTCTGCTTGTTTGCCTCAGCCGCATCAAGAAACTCATGCACGCCGTTAATGTACTCGCGGGTGTGTCTGTCACCGTACATCCATTGTCGGTTCATCTGCGTGCATTATATATAATTAAGTGTCCAAATTAATAGAAGTTCATCATCACATTAAAACCAAAGTGCATACATAGTTCTCATCTAACAACATATAGCTCTCCAGAGCATCTAATTAATTAAACCATACATTGAAACTATGTAAAACATTTCAATCCGAAAACAAATGCGATCATAATCGCAACCAAGGTAACAATTGATCCAACGGCATAATGATACCAAGCCTCGGTATGAATGGCATATTTTCTAATCTTTCTAATCTTCAAGCGCATTGCATCCATCTTGATCTTGTGATCATCGACGACATCCGCAACATGCAACTCCAATATCATCTTCTCCTCCTCAATTTTTTTTGTTTTTTCCTTCAACAAATTGTTTTCTTCTTCAACTAAATTTAACCTCTCGACAATAGGGTCGGTTGGCATTTCCGATTCACATACATCCTAGATAAATAAAATCTATGTCACGTTGGTCGGCATAATTTTCATAAACAATAAATGAACCAATAGTTATAAAGATAATATACATACCAAATCCGAATCATAGACAGGACGAGGGCCGACGGGGGCGGATACCAAAACCATCGCACTATATAAGATGCAATAATAAATGTAAGAAAATGATACAAGTATCTATCTAAACATACAAGTAAGAATATTTTTCCTTTCAGAAAGAAGATAAGAACAAGAGGCTCACCACGGTGGTGTCGGTGATGAGATCGGCGCGGGTGATCGACGACGGTGAAGACGGGGACGGGGCGTGACGGACCGCTAAATCTAGACAAATCTCGAGGAAAATGGAGCTTGGAGGTCGAGCTTCGAGAAGAGAAAGCTTAAGTAGTGTGGCTCGGGCATTCCATCGAACACCTCATGTGCATAGGAGGTGAGCTAGAGCACCACAAAGCCCTCTCCCCCTCGGCCAGAAAAAACAGAGCATTGTGCTCTGCTTTTGCGCGAGGGGATATATATAGGCACCTCATTGGTCCCGGTTAGTGTCATGAACCGGGACTAAAGGGGAGCCTTTGGTCCCGGTTCAAGCCACCAACCGGGACCAATGGTGGTGGGCCAGGATAGTTGGCTATAGGCCTATGGCTCATACTAGGCAGACGCGCGCCAGGGAGCGGCAGCTCGATCTCCCGATCCCAGCGATTGAGTGTTTGATAGCGAGCGATCAGCGAAATTTCCTTTCACATAAAAAAAAGAGCGATCAATTAGCTGCATGGGCGATTTCCTTCCTATTCTGTTCGACCATTCCATCAGGCAGAGTCACGCAACGATTCCAGGTCCCAGCCTAGCTGCTGGCAGCCGACGCCGCCATGCACGCATGCACGCACTCCCGTCTGGGCGCCTCGCCGCCCCCAACCCTTTGGTAATTTCCTTCCTAATTTGTGTATGTTCGCCGCTGATTTCAATTCCGGGCCCTGTTTGGCATTTGCTCAACTATTTTCTTCTCAATCTTATGCAGACTCTAGGCGCTGTGCAGACCCCTGTGTATTGTATACGCACATGGACTGAAGTTTGATCATCACTCCGTCAGGTATTGAGGTATATTCATATAATATTGATACAAAAAAATCCTTTGATGCATAGCCGGCACTGTTCAATAATTGATAGAACAAATGGTTTTGTTTTCAGCATTGTGTGTGTTATTATGACGTCCTCCGGTAAGAGGAAATATTTTAACGTTTTGATTGATATATATGGAGATCACTTATTTGAATGATAGATTCAGATAACTCATGGTGTTTAAAGATATATTCGGATTTTTATTGAGCTCGGGCACCCTGATGTCATTAAGTGACAATGAACTTGAAGAATGTTGCAGCAGAAACTTTCTCTGTTAATGGTTCATTTGATGTTTTTTTTGCAGGAATGGTTCATTTGATGTTGAGGTATACAATCTTATTTCTGAATTGATGATTATGAGATTCACTTTGCCAGATGACGTAATGTCTGCTATGGAGATTTTCGGGCATGTCAGAGAACTTGATTGGTATCCTAATATCTTCATTGTCTATCACATCTTATTTACTGTGCTTGTGACGGTCGCATGGCCCGAAAGAATCTTTTCCGAAGTTGAATTATTTGATACACATATTAATTTTGGATGCATTTAAGTGTTACTGGTAATAATTTATATATACATTTTTTGAGAAAAAAATATATACATGGATATACGTATATTACAATGAGTGTATATATATTAAGGGCCCCCAATTTTTAGTTTGCCCCGGGCCCCCGAAATCTCAGGACCGGCCCTGGATCGACCTGCAGCTGGACAGTCAAGCATGGTCGTTTTATTTACAGTTTGCGTAGGTCTTAGTTGACTGAGACTTAATCAAGTCTCAATCAAGTGATAAAGTATATAAGAAGAAAGAAGAAAATCTAAAAAGAATTTTTTTGTACGAATCTTCATGCAAGATTAAATGAATATAGCATCGACCGAGACTCTACTGAAACTTAGCAAAACTGTTAGTTTTGTGTGTGTGTACGCATGGAGTTTCAGGCGTTTTGGGAACCTTGTCATTATTCTCGAGATTTTCCCAAGTGTTTTTTTTTCTTTCCTATGCATTCCGTCGAATTGGTATGTCAATCTTCTTGTACATAAACGTGATACAGTTGGGCGGTTCGATTCAATGGGGGAGGGACATGAAGGTGGACCTGTCCTCAATGCTCATGGATAGTGGAAAGTGACCAGACATTCCCCTCTCCCTAGCCATAGCCCATATATGTTCATCCAGTCTCCCATCTATAATTTGTTTTTTAGGGGACCATCTATAATTTGGTTGTTAGGTATGGATTCTACCTCTTTTTTTGAATTCTAGCACAGAGAAGGGAAGGCAACCAATCCTTCTATTTTGGTCAGGGTTATATATTCCAGCACAGGGTTATACAGATTGATGGAGGGAACCAATCCATCTGCAATTTTGTTGTTAGGTATATATTCCAGCATATGTTTGAATATGATTACTATATACTGCTAGCTGAGCTTAAACGTGAGTGTCGTAGCATGCATGCATTAGGCTAACAAAAACACTAGAAATCTAAGGTCAGAATTTTAGGCGTGGCAAATTTGACGCATTTCATGGCAATTTATATGGGTGCGATGATGGCAAATTTAGTTTGCAAGAACGGTAATTTTCTGACAAAAACAAAAATTAACTGAGACAGATTTGTTACCTGCCGACTAAACTTGCATTGGCATCCTCGAAGAACATAATTTTCCATGAAAAACGTTCGATTTGTCATGGTAAAAAATCCAACATCAGATTTGTAGTGGAGTCTTAATTTAACCATGGTTGAGTCGACCCTGTAAAGAAATACCATGGCTGAGTCGACCCTGTAAAGAAATACCATGGCTGAGTCGATTTTCAAAAGTGTAACGCTGTTCAACGAAAAGTTTAACCCGTATCTTTCCATGCAGTTAAATTTTACAAAAAAAAAGAGAATCCGTAAGTTGCACCTTTTACTACACCAGCAAAGTTGCATTTTGTAGAAGCCGGCGGGTTGGGGATCAGCAAGAACCAAATGTTGTTGAGGAGAAAGTAGCTATCCAATCTTTGTATTCAGAAACAAAATTAGCCACAGTCTTGAAGAAAAATCAAGTGAAAATCGTGTGCGAGAGAGGGGCGATTCGGTTGGACTCGGCTCCCCTGACGTACTGCAGGGTGCAGTTGGGTCACTGACAGGTGGGCCCGAAAGCAAGTTGGCCCACCTGTCAGTGACCCAACTGCACCCTGCAGTACGTCAGGGGAGCCGAGTCCGATTCGGTTGCGACTCAACGTCGCGCTTTACGAGGCCACCACGTCACATCGCATGCATGCACACCGCTCGATCCACGGACCGTCGTAGTCGTAGGCGTCACGCCCCCGAAAACGACCTGTGCACTGCTCTGCTCTCCCGGCGGCCTCGCGCCCCAAAACTCGAATTTTTATCGCGGCCTCCTCCCTCCTCCCTCCCTGCCGGGGAGGGGGGCCACGCCGACGGCGGATCTGCCGCCGCACACGGCGTCCCCTCGCCCGTTTCCAGCCCAAGTAAAATCCCCACCCACCAGTCCACCACCTCATCGCCTCGCCCTCCCCTCCCATCCCCTTCTTTATTCCGCCCTCCTCTCACATGCCATTGCCAGCCTCCCACTGCTACGCCTGCTGCTGCCTCCTCTCTTCCCACTCCCCTCCTTCCTCCCCACTCTACTCCACGCGCAGCCGGCCGGGCCGGGTCAACCGACCAGCCGGCCGACCACGAGCTTCCCTCGCCATTCCCATCCCATGCTGTTCCGTTGTCGGTGCTGGGGGACTGGCTGCTAATTAGTTCTGGTTCCGCGGCAATGGAGACGAGGAGGCGCGGCGGCGGCGGCGGTGGCGCGGGAGTTTGTCATGGGGTGGTGATGTACGGCCTATTGCTGGTGCTGCTGGTCTGTGGCCGCGGGGCCAGCGGGCTGGACGCGGACGGGGAGCTGCTCATGGCCTTCCGGCGCGCGGTCACCGCCGACCCGCTCGGCGCGCTCCGCAGCTGGAGCTACTCCGACGACTCCGCCTGCGCCTGGAACGGCGTCATCTGCAACGGCTTCCCGCAGCCCCAGCAGCAGGCCTCCACGGTCAACCTCACCTCCGCCTCCGCCGACGGCAGCGTGAGCGGGAACTTCAGCACGCTCGCCGGTGGCAGGGCGAACGGCACGCTGCTCGGCCTCAACGCGTCGATGGCCGCGGCCACGGTGTCGCGGGTCATCGGCCTCGTCCTCCCCGGCGCGCAGCTCTCCGGGTCGCTCCCCGCCGAGCTGGCCCGCGTCGAGCACCTGCGCCACCTCGACCTCTCCGGGAACGCCCTCAACGGGACCCTCCCCGCCGCGCTGCTGCTCAACGCCACCGAGCTCCGCGTGCTCTCGCTCGCCGGAAACGACCTCTCCGGCGCGCTCCCGGACGCGTCCTACGCGCGCGCGCTCCAGGAGCTCAACCTCTCCGACAACGCGCTCGCCGGCTGGCTACCTGCTGCGCTCCTGAGGGCGCCTGGCCTCGCCGTGCTGGGCCTCGCCAACAACTACCTCGCCGGGGAGCTCCCCGCCGGCGGGCTCGGCGGGCTGCAGGTTGTGGACCTCAGCAACAACTACTTCAGGGGGCAACTCCCGGCGGACTTCGGCGGAGCGCAGCTGAGGTTCCTCAACGTGTCGTCCAACAGCCTCACCGGCGCGCTCCCGGCCGAGCTGTCCCACGTCGTGCCGGCCAACACCACGGTGGATCTGTCCAACAATAACTTCACCGGCGCGGTCCCACCGGCCGGGCCCTTCGCCGCGCAGCCGGCGGCGGCGTACGAGGGCAACCCGGGGCTGTGCGGCCCGCCGCTGAAGCACGCGTGCTCCATCCCGTCGTCGCTCTCCAACCCGCCCAACGCCACCGACTCGCCGCCGGCGTTCGCGGCCATCCCCAAGAGCGCCGCCCGGGCGCCGCCGGGCTCCCCCGAGGCCCAGGCCCCGCGCGGCGGGCAGGGGAAGCTCAAACCTCTGGTGATCCTCGCCATCGTGGCCGGTGACCTCGCCGGCGTAGGGCTCCTCTTCATGCTCTTCATGTACGTCTACCACATCAGGAAGAAGCGGCGGCAGCGGCGGGAGGAGAACCCGACGGCGCAGCAGCACAAGGGCATCGGCGGCGGAGCCAAGGCATTGAGCGTCGCCGGAGCCAGAGAAGAAAAGACGGCCACGTCGAGGGGATGCTGCATTGGCGGCCGCAAGAACGACGGCTCCGACAGCTCGGACTGCTCGGGGTCGTCGTCGGACGCGGCGTCCGACGACGGCGGCGGCGAGGACCCCAAGAAGAGAGCGGGGAGCTACATCGGCTGGGGCACCCCGCAGCACCACAGCAAGAACAAGCAGGAGCGGCAGCAGCAGCAGGCGCCCGCGCCGGCGACGCTGGTGACGGTGGACGGCGGCGACGGCGAGCTGGAGATGGAGACGCTGCTCAAGGCGTCGGCCTACATCCTGGGCGCCACCGGGTCGAGCATCGTGTACAAGGCCGTGCTCGCGGACGGCACGGCGCTGGCCGTCCGGCGCATCGGCGAGAGCGGAGGCGCCGACAAGCTCAAGGACTTCGAGGCGCAGGTGCGCGCCGTCGCCCGGTTCCGGCACCCCAACATCCTCCGGCTCCGGGGCTTCTACTGGGGCGCCGACGAGAAGCTGCTCATCCACGACTACGCCGCCAACGGCAGCCTCGCCAACATCGCCTTCACCAGTAAGTCCTGCTCGACTCCATTGCTACAAGTAAAAGCTTTTTTTTCTTCTTGTTTTTCTGATGACCATGATAGAATTTCATCGTTTCAAACTTAATTTCCATGAAATTTGGTACTCCCTCTGTTCACTTTTGTAAGTCGTTTTTGATTGCAGGGCGGTTCGGCGCGCCGTCGCCGATGCACCTGAACCTGGAGGCGCGGCTGCGGATCGCGCGGGGGCTGGCGCGGGGGCTGGCATTCATCCACGACAAGAAGGGGGTCCACGGCAACGTGAAGCCCAGCAACATCCTGCTCGGCGCCGACATGGAGCCGGTGGTGGGCGACCTGGGGCTGGACCGGCTGCTGTCCGGCGAGGCGGCCGCCAGCCGGGGCGGCGGCGGCGCGTCGGCGCGGCTGTTCGGGAGCAAGCGCTCCATGCACTCCACCAGCAGCCTGCCGGACCTGTCCCAGATGCCGGCCGGCGCCGGGGCCAGCCCGTCGGCGTCGGCCCCGCCGCCGTACCAGGCGCCCGAGTGCCTCAAGAGCCTGCGGCCCAACGCCAAGTGGGACGTCTACTCCTTCGGCATGGTGCTCCTGGAGCTGCTCTCGGGGCGCGTCTACTCGGAGGTGGAGCTCTGCCAGTGGCACGCGGGCGTCGCCGGCGCCGTCGACGACCAGCGCGGCCGCGTGCTGCGCATGGCCGACCCCACGCTCCGCGGCGAGGCCGTTGACGGCGGCAGCGAGGACGCGCTGCTCGGCTGCTTCCGGCTCGCATTCGCCTGCTGCGCCATGGCGCCCGGCAAGCGGCCCGCCATGCGGGACGCGGCCGCGCTCCTCGACAGGATCCCAGTGCTCTCCTCCGCATCCATCTCCGCCGTTGAAACTCCGCCATACTGATTATCCGGCAATAAATTGTAGGATAGTGGTACAACTTGGATGATCTTTTACTACTCTCTGTAGATTTGCGTCACTAATTTTTGATCTTCACGTGATTAACCAACCCCTTTTCTCAAGCTTGCGGTTTCATTCTCTGCCCTCGCTCTGCTCTGCTCTGACTGAAATGCCATTGTTACAGCACGAGATTGCTGTTTGTTGCAAGAAACTTCATCTGTTCTTTTTTTGTTTAGATTTAGAGAAGGGAAGCGACTTTATTTTTCTTGATCGTAGGGAGAAAGGAAGCAACTTTGTGTTGGGTGATGCAGAGTCCAGTGTCTAGAGCATGTAAACCGGGAGCCGTGTCTTCTGCACTTTACCTCGAATCAGATGCTAAGGCCAACTCCATCGCGCGACCTCAAACGGACGTCCGTTTTGTCCGGATTTTATCCGTTTGGATAGGGATTTGGGGTCGTGTCCTGGGATGCGGTGGCCGTGCGCCCACCGCGCGGACGCATCCCGGTCGCATCCTGTCCGCGTATTATTTCTTTGCAAGTCCTTAACTTTATTTCATCATTCATTTTTGGTACATGAAAAATGCATCATCACATTTTGACTAGTAAAGCAAGATCAAAGAAAATAAGAACAACAAGAATACATTTTAGAAGATAGCCAACTTCCATAACTGCCCTCTTGAGTTGGGTTAGGGCCTTCTCGATGCACTCATTGCTGATCTATGGAGGAGGCTCAATCTGGTATCCTCCTTTCTTCTTCAAACCAGAAGTAGATGTTGCTTCCTCAGACCTAATCTCATGTCTAGCCTCTAATCTAGCAACAAGTGCACTTGTCTCATTTATAGCCTCTATGCTAGCTAAAAGTGCACGAACATGTACTAAATTTCGCTCTATCAATATATCGATGTACTTTTCTTCCCAATACCAAAACTTGCATCCATTGTACACAACAAAATTTGAAGTTAGCATAACTAGTCAAATCTAGAGCACAAACCGAAGCTAAAAAAAGCGCATACCCCATCGTTTAAGCACTTGATGAACACCCATCCGGGATGTTCCGGCGTTGTAGAGACGCGGCGCACGACCATCCTTGGGCAGTGGTCGCACTTAATGAGTGGCAACGGTGCGCCGGCGAGCTTTTGGGCAAGCACCGAGCCGACCGTCCGCCATTCGTGTATCTGTCGGCGGCCCACCGACGGTACAGATCCGAGCGGCTAGAGGAGGAGCCACTGCCTGCATGTGGCCTTGCGGCCCTGCCAGGGCCTTTCGGCGAGGTGCCCGGCCAGTCCATGGCGCGGCCAGGCCTCCCACAACCGGCCGAGCTCAAGACCGACCGGATCCGCCCCAAAACCGGCCGGCGGGTGCGCAAACCAGGTGGCCGTGGTTGGGTAGCTCGGCGGCGCCGAGGGGAAGGGGTTGGGCGAGCTCACGTCCGAACTGCACGGCTGCAATGGCAGCGGCGGCGGCAGCGAGGGGAAGAGTGGGGAAGAGTGGAGGGGGTTCGGCCGGAGGGAGGGAGGGGGCGGATAGAAAAAGGCCCGTCTTGTACCACCGACGGGCGGGCTAGGGGAGGACACGCGCAGACGACCCGTGCGTCCGCGTGGTGTCCGTTTCACCCCAAAAGCGGCGCAAACTTGGGTCGCGGATGGGTCGAAAGCGGACACAAAGCGGACAAAAGTCTGTTTGCTCCCGCGCGCTGGGCCGCCTTTTTTGTCCCTTTTACCCCAAACGGACGGGGCCGGACAGGATAGGGTCGCGCGGTGGAGTTGGCCTAAGGCCTTCTTGGTGCATAGGATAGAAATTTTTTAGAAATAGAAAAATCACAGGAAGCGAGATGACATGCATGTCAACTCCTATAAAGAAAGAGATATCATTTGATGCATAAGATAAGATTTTTTCCATTGAGTCTAGGCTAATGTTTTTCCCCTCCAAAATGTGAAGGATCCATTCCTACAAACAAAAGGGCTTCAAAGGAATTTTTCCTTTGCAAATCCTATCCTATAGAATTCCTACAAAAATCCTACAAACCAAAGAAGGCCTAAGTGCCCTGAATAACCCAAGTGGCCAAGAGTGATTAGAGGAAGATGAGTACTGATCTAGTGTACTCCCTCACTTCTGATAGTAGGGATGAAAATGGAGTGGAAACTTTCCGTTTTTCCGGAGGAAAAGTGAAAACAGAGAGTAACTATGAAAACAGAAACGGAAATTTGCAAAACAGAAGTGGAAATAGAATTTTTTATGTGAAAATGGAAACAAAAACGGAATGGTGTTTTTCGGTGGAACATACATGAAAATGGTACTTTCCGTTTCCGTGAATTTAAAATTTCTGTTTTTATTATAGACATATGGCTGCTTTGTCGCCCAACCACCAAAGAGAACGCAATGACACAATTAGTAGAATGGATCTGAGGCCTAACTTCTACTACCACACATATACTTAGCTTGACCCTATACGCAATTGTCCAGTACTACTGCAATACTATGCTAAATTGCTGACATAATGATATTATTTTACAGCCATGTTAACAACTCATTAAATTTCTTTGTTTTTGTGTGTATTTCTCTATGATTCAAGGGGTTTTTAAGTTCCGATCAACGCTCATTTCTGTTTCCATATTCGTTTTGTATTCGCTCCGTGTCCGTTTCCGGTAGTATCTGTTTCCGGGGTTTCTGTATTCGTTTCCGCTTATGCAAAAAAAATATGAAAACAAATATGATAGCACTCAGTTCCGTCCGTTTCCGCTCCGTTTTCATCCCTATCTGATAATACATTTGTTCTGGAAAAAAAGCGTAATACATGGTTCATCTACACTACCGCGGTGGCTGCCGTGCATACTCATCTAGGACATGGTGACCATGGATGTTGAGAGCAACCTGTCCACTCCCATGTTCTCTTCTTTTTCTCATGAATCTTAAGCATTTGTGGTATGACAGGAATACATGTTCTCTTCTTTTTCCAAAGAATCTTCAGCATTTGTGGTATGACAGGAAACGGTCGAAACGACGGAATAAATTCTAAGCACAGTTGCGCAGTGGTTGTACAACTAGGACCATGGCTGGAGAGGGGCAGATAGGCTAGCAAATCTCTGCTGCACTATCAATGCTAATCATGAATTAGTCTGCAAGAATCAGTGTGTAAGTTAGTGCACTGTTTTAGTGAGTGTCATCAGCTTACCACATCTCACACCATGTGTGGATGTAAATAAGAGGCAAAAATGGCAAATCTAACATATGGACCAAAGTATTTCACAAACTGAACCGTGTTTGAATTTTTTTTTGCACAACTCACCCTTTTGTGTACTGCCCGACAGACAAGCGCACAATACACTGTGTAGCGCCTGACTCTCAGACGCTACACATCTGGCAAGCGTGGCACACCTAGGCCAGGCCCGGGCCCACACCCAGCCTGTAGCGCCTAACAGCTAGACGCCACACATGTAATGTGCAACGCCTAGCAGTTAGGCGATGCACATCCTGTTAACAGGGCCCGGGCTGGCCCCCTCCCCCAACCCCACCACATCTCCCTCACCCGTGATTCTCCTCTCTCCCACTCTCAAATCCTTCCCCAAATCTTGCAGATCTGAAGATTTTCTCCATGGATTTCGAACCCAATATCTCCCTCTAGGAAAATGCGTAATGTGAGTGTCGGGTGGTTGGTGCGACATATGCCAATGGATGGCTTATCATTGTGGGAGCCAATAAAACATCGCCGGTGCCTGAAAATGGGATAAGGCGAAGACATGCACGCCGGCGAATCTTACCCAGCTTCAGGGCTCTCCGTGGAGATAACACCCCTAATGCTGCTCTGCGGGGTCTCCGCATGATCACTAGCTCGGTGGGTTGCTACAGAATGCTCCTTGAACTGTTCGGTGAAAGGATGAGGGAGGGCCAGGCTAGCCCGCGCCTCTTCTCCTTGTGGTGTCTAAAATCTATCCAAAGAGTGATCTCCCTCTGCATGGCAACCCTGGGGGGTTTATATAGGCCTACCCCCCAGGGGTACAATGGTAATCCGGCTGGGCGTGGGCCCCAGCCGTCTGTGTCTACGCCCGCCGGCTTCTCCGCCGACTGGTGGGGCCCGGCGACTGGTAGGCCCGCCGGCTGCCGACCCTTTCGCCGATAGGCCGGCCCCACCGCTCGGGGGTCTTGTCGGGGCTGGTTACCGTTACCTTGCCCCTGGTGACGATGGCTTTGTCGTGGTAAGCATGACTACAGTGCCGCCGCGAGGCGGCTCATCACTGTAGCCTTACCTTCTCTTGTCTCCTTAATGAAGCACCTCCTTGGAGGGAGAGAGCTGGCCGGCTGTTGGAAGCCGGCCATACCC